TGTCCCATATCATAGGTGCGCGCGGATCCCAAGACTTACGGTCTCCGTCCCCGATTATGGCTCCTGCTTCCGGTCGATATTTCTGTTCTATTTTATTACCTTTATTGAAAATTATCTTTGGAAGAGTTCGATCAGTGCATATTCACAGCAAGGAAACAAGCGTTTAAGTTAGTCGAAATCTTTTTTGTCCAATTATTTAGCCAATCAAGATATGCTATCCTTTCCCGGTGCGCTCGCCCAGGCGCTGCCCGAGGGCAAAGAGGGACCATTGAACCGGCCTGGCCAGGTAATGGTAAGTGAACCAGAAACAGCGAACGCCTTATGTCAGTCTTGCCAACCAAGAAGAATTGTTTTTAGTGTGTTGGTGGTGGTGCGGATGCAATGGCCAGGTGTGAGGGAGGATGGTAGCGATATCACGCAAGGTTTTTCAAGAAGCGTTGTGTGACAAATTGTGTACATTTACATGACAATGACACCCGCTGTCCCGTGAACATTGCAGTGAACCTACTCTCGATAATTTTTTTTTCTTCCAGGTTTATTTGTCGTCACCTGAGCGACATCTGAGCACAAGATTCTACGTGTAAGCAAAGAACGCAAACATACATGATTTATCAGTGCTTATACCGGTGAACTATATCAGTATTTTGTCTTGAACGATCGGCAGGTGAGAGAGATTATTTGCTATTGATTAGCTGGCGGTTATAAAAACATAGAATTAAAGTTAAACTCAGCTACCACTGGAAATCTGTATGATTTTAACTTGTAACTCTTAGAATATACAGAGAAAGGAAATGTGTGATTTGCCGACGACAAAGGGGGTTGAAAGGGTTATCTAATACAAAGATAAGGGACAAGATGGTAGTTACTTCAGAGGAGTTAGTTCTGCCAACAACTTCCCCAGCTAATTTGCATGCAGTGTTGTCTGATGTTTCAGCCGGATGTCCAGTTATCAGCTCTTTTGTATTTAAAGTACACGTCGGAAAAAGCTTAAGTTTATTTTTAAATATGTAAATCTAGACAATCAATTGAGATCCATTTAGAGGTTTGCTCTGTAAGTTTGTAACTTAAGTGCGAGTTCGATTTCCTTGCTAAATGTGTATAAGCTTAATATTCAGCTCCGATAGTGATCTTTTATGGTCACTTTCGCGTAATTACAATGCTAATAAGTTTACGGCTGTTTGGCAGGTATTTAATAGCTGACAGTCATACAGAATTTCTCTATATTAATACCTAAATGTCAAGATAGTTTCAGTCAGTTTTACATACAGATTGTGCAAACTTAGCAAGTTTAACATTTATACATGCTAATAAAAATAGATCAGCTCAGCTCATGAAACTGAAATTAACTGGGTTAAATATAGCGAAAGGTAATTTGAAGATAAATATTTCATTGCTTCTTTGCATCAACTTTTTACAACAGGATATTTTTGCTGAAGTTAACTAGACTATGATATGAATTTCTGAAAAAATGTTTTAAAAAACATTATAAGATAGATAGAACTCTGTGTGCACTCTGATTGGTCAAAAGCTTGTGTTTTATCAGAGTAAAACATAGAAAAAGAATGTGTTATTGTTTTTCTTCAGATTACCTCTATATCTTAAAGCAAATGAAGAAGCCTAAGCTGTGTATTACACTGTGATAAAGCACTCTGGACATTTGAAAATGTTCAAGAAATGTAGAAAACACTCGCCTGCGGCTCCATGTGCAATGAGGCATTTTCGTAACTTATGTTTTCATTTTCTTGGACATACAGGTGTTGAACTGTTCCCAATATATTGACAGAGCTGAGTCTCAAGTTGATTATTCTCTAAGTTCCACCAGTCAGACATTACCATGAGCTTTTCCTGACCAATATATATATGGCCAGTCCAGGAAACAAGGAGCTTTCTGTCTCACAGTCTGAAAGTGAAGTGGTGACTGAGGAAGAGGTTGCTCTCATGACATCTGGAAGAGATAACTTGACAGTAGATCAGGGGAATAACTTCTTAGGTACTTTTTTGAAGGATATAAATTATATGGCAAATGGACTTTGAAAAAAAAAACAGTCATGTCTCATGTAGCGTGTTACTCTAACACATTTTATGCCAGTGGGTCTTGCCATTTGATGCACACTGAAAATGATTATGTTAAAATTTGCTATATCTTGTGAGGCTTGGATTCAACATAGCCACCTGCCACTGCTTTGCTTAAATCTATGAATGAATAAAAGAAAAATAAATAAATTACTGGGAAGATGAAAGGTGGTATGGGTTAATGAACAAACAAGATTTAATCATTAAATGACCAAGAACAAATGAATGATGAGTACAATAGGCCATTCCCGAGTTGGCTTTTGCTTCTGTGTCAAGACGAGCCTTCTTGCGAAACCATCCATATGAAAATGAGTTCCACCTACAGGTTCATTTTCATGCAAATGAAACTCATTTTCAAAGGAAAGGTTTGCATGAGGACTAGTTTTGAAACAGAGGTACAAGGTAACTGTGTTACGGTTGTTATAAATTATATAATTATTCCTTCATCTCATAATTGTGATGCCATTACTGTAACTGCTGAATAAAGAGTGTATTTCCGTCAGTTATGTCATAATACCAATGATATTGTTTCCATTAATATGTTTTGCATGTTTTCTACAATAGACACTGGCTCAGTATGTATCAATTTACGAGATGAAGAGGATGATTTCTTTGATGGCAGCAGCATCACTTGTACCTATGATACTCAAGATGGTGTAGCTCACAAGAAAGGAGTGTTTCTTCCTGGACTGAAGGTTATTGCAACCATTACTGATGTGGAACGTGCACCAAGAACACATCCATTCAATCCTAACTTGTAAGAAATAATTAAATGTTGAATAATATAAAATTCAGTGTTTACCTTTAAGTTTAGTTTTGAAGCAGAAATGTCTTCCTATTCATAGACACAGTAGCTGTGGCTTTTAACTTTGCTTGTTGGTCTCTTAAACATCAAAATGCCAAACCCAGAAATAACACCATGAGGGCCTTCTAAAACATACATGTAACACCACTTGAGGCATAAGTAATTTGTGTTTATGCTCTTTAAATTTGAGTCCTAAGCTTTAAATTTTCAGAGGACCAGTCTATCATTGGCAAAATCACACTAGTGGTAATGTGATAATCAATAATAATTATTATAATTATTACTAAGTCTAAGTTATTGCTCATTATTATTACTAATTTAACATAATTATAAAGTAAGGATGATTTCTGGGTGTTAAAAATGAGGCAATCTCATAGATATTGACATCAGATAATATTGAAAATTAGGTCAGTCTTACATTTTACGATATTGCACAAAGCAAATCCAATCTGTTTAATTTCCTCTAAATGATCTTTACCCATCCATGCCCCTTTTTGGCTTTTCGGTGTTACTTTTGTATTCTGCAACAGTTTTACTAGACCTCAAATTTAAAACAGACTTAGATCATTCCACTGAAACAGAACCTGAACTGAGATTTTTGTGAAACTTTGCCTATTGATTGTTTATGTTATAGGAACTTGAATTTTGAAATAAAAATGAGGGGTCCCCATGTTCTTTTAGGAGCAACAGCACTTTTTTACCCAATAAATCATTATAATAGCACCATGATTGTAGTCACGATTGCTTGCTAAATTCACTTTTCCATCAATTGTTTTTTGTTCTACACTGAGAATTCGTCCATATTTAAATTTTACTCAGAGAAATTTATCACTCAATTTAAAACAACAGGAAAAAAATGATAGGTCACCATACTTGTGTGCAAGAAAATGACAATTTACCTCTATAGCAAGATCCAGTGGTAAAGAAAAAGCTGCCATTTTTTTAATCCATACGTGCTAATCATGCATGAAATTACGCACAGTAGGGATGCACAATGCAATACTGGGGAATGACCTTAAGAAATTCATTCCAAATAATTAGATGTGTATAATTTTAGTTATTAATAAGTATAATTGCTTTTTTAAATTAACAAAAACTGGATAGGAGAGAAGTTCAGTGTAGGTCTAAAAAGAGGTTATTTCAAGAATCACCATTACCACACTCACAGATGCAAAAATAGCATATTCCAAGCAAATTATAATCCTCTCCCCTTTGCCTGTCTCACCAAACCTATTTTGTGATTCCTTATCTCCCCATTAACAGCAACCTCTAAGCATAGGCAGTCATGAAATTAAATTGTGCAGACAATGTTTTTTTCTTGCCTTACATTTCAATGCATTTGATATTATCCAGATACACCATTAAGCTAAGTCATGGCAGTTTTACTTGGGTGATCAGGCGTCGTTATAAGCACTTCTTAAAACTTGATGCAGAGCTATTCCTTCACAAAGTAAATGTGCATCGGCACACCATAAGAGGGGAGCATAGAGGAGAGCATCACGCTCGCCTGCCAAGTCGTCACTTGCCCAAGCGACCTGACATGTTTACAACAACAATCAACATGGACAAGAGAATAAAGTCTCTGGAAAAATACCTGCAAGTGATTCTTGACAGCCCAAACTATCGTAATCACAAAGAGACACTGAACTTTTTGGAGGTCAGCCATCTATCCTTTCATTTTGATTTGGGAGAGAAAGGAAGGTAAGGAGAGTTAAGCACTACTGCTCTAAATGTCCTAAGTGCTGTCCGTAAAATTTGGTTGTACTGTACATCAGGGCAAGAAAATATTTATAATTAGATATTAGTAAATGTTGGACATTATGTTTACTGGTATGAATAGATTAATATTTATTTTGTAAGATGAAGATTGAATTGCATCATTGACTTTTAAAATATGCAAAGACCAGAATTAAAGGTTAATTGTAATAAGGTTCTTGTGATTATTTATAGGGAAGGTATCCTGAGAAAGCGAGCAGGAGGTCATCGGTTTCCAGCAGGTTGCTGCAGTTGTTGTGCAGGACTTTCTTGGGGAATTTGGGACAAAAGGTATGGCTTAATAGAAAGAAATAATGTTGAAATGTATTAACTTAGGAAGGATAACATTACTCAACCATGACACAGATATTTTGCTGTGTCAGTGTTTTCTTGACCTTGAACTTTCAGAGAAGCACAGTCATGTCCTAATGTACACAACAGTGGCAGATCTAGGGGAGGAGCCCGCCCCCCTTATTTTGGGTAAAAAAATTGCAGAAGGAAGAAAAGCCCTTAAGATGAGCAAAAAAAACCAGCCCCCCCC